ATCAATTCCACTTAGGAGAAAATTATTGGGATTTTTACCTCCTGAACATGACTGTTGCACTTTGAGTTGGGGGTGGGACTACCTGTTTGAATGGACATTATTAAAAGTGGATGGGGTTAAAGGGGCAGTAAAACTGTTTAGCAAACTGTTTGAAACAATTGCTATTTTTACCCTAGCAGCCACCTAAAAGACCCTAGCAACTGCATAGCAATACCCTAACCACCCATACCTCCCTAGTAACTACACAGCAACACCCGAGCAACACCAATTTTTATGAAAACTGTTAGGAAACCATTGTTATTTTTACGCTTTTGTTTGGTGCCTCTAGTAATGTGGCAAATTACACACTTTACACACTAATTTTGACTTCAACTAATTTTGATTTTGTCATTAACTTGGTTGCATTTCTTGTGATGCTCCAGCATTCTTACCAACATTCTGGACGTGCACCAGAACATGGGCTACTGCCCTCAGTTTGATGCCATAGATGATCTTCTAACAGGAAGAGAACATCTGCACTTATACGCTCGGCTCAGAGGAGTCCCGGAATCCGAGATCAGCAGAGTGAGACCATATTCCACTTTCTTATCTCTTCTTATTTCTTTCTCTCTGAGGATTTATGACAGAGACCTCTATCTCTCGTTGATGCAGGTGGCTGAATGGGGAATTCAGAAACTGGGTTTATTTGAGTATGCAGGCTGCACTGCCGGCACATACAGTGGTGGAAACAAGCGTAAACTCTCAACAGCTATTGCAATGATTGACTGTCCAGCTCTTCTGCTCCTGGTAAGAGCTTTTCTGTGCGATTTATTTCAGAATAAGATAAGGATTGTTACAAGTATGTTTTTTTTTCCCCCTGTGCCAGGATGAGCCAACCACAGGAATGGATCCTCACTCTCGGAGGTTCCTCTGGAACTCCATCACGAGTGTGATTCAGGGTGGCAGGGCAGTGGTCCTTACATCACACAGGCAAGAACTCGTCAACACACATGCATTTTTATATACTGCCAAATTATAAATATTATAAACTAACCTATTGAAGCCTATTTTCACCATGGAATAAAAAAGATGGTTGCAAATTTTTATCTCACAATTATGTGAGATATAAAGATGTAAACTCAGAATTCTAGATTTCTTGCAATTCCTAGTTTACATCGTGCAGTTGTGGTGGCTCTGTTTCCACCACAAAATAAAAAGGTAATCAGAATTATTTACATTTACATTTAGTCATTTAGTAGACACTTTTGTCCAAAGCGACTTATAAATGAGGACAATAGAAGCAATCAAAACCAACAAAAGAGCAATAATGTATATATGTGTATATATATATATATATATATATATATATTAGGGCTGTCAGTTTAATGCATTAACTTAATCGATTAAAATATTTTAAAGCAGTTAACGCACTGGCCCTGCCCCCATACCTGTACGTCATACATTTCATACACTTGACTGACAAATATGATGCAGGGTAACAACTCCATAAATGAAGTTATGCCCTAAATTCAAGACATTGGTGCAAAAAAAAAAAAAGCCCCTGCATGAGTTTCACATAAGCGATATCACACGAGTGCAGTTTTTGTCCTGAATATAACGAGTGCAAATGTGATTTTATACAATAGTTCAGTAATTAAGAAGTTAATATTGTTATATTTATTTTAAACACAATATTGTCTGTTTTTGCTCAGTTTTGCCAACAAAAATATTACCTATAAAGCCACAGCAGAACTGTTGTGCGTCTCCAAGCAACACAGCAGTGTTTAGTTTCTGAATGAACCCGCGTTTTGAACGAATCATGTGAACCAATGATTCAAAGACCCATTTATAGAGGGAGCCGTTTACTGAATTCCTGAATGAATCAGCCGTTTGAACGAATCGAATGAAGACATTTACCACCACCTGCTGGCAGTTTTAGTTTCTTATTTAGAGTATTATTTCATAAAAAAAGGGAAGAAAAGGGAAAAAGAAATCTTTAACATTTTTTAATTATGTCATCATTTACTCAAACCTGAGTAACTTGCTTTCTTTTGTGGAACATAAAAGAAGGTATTTTGAAGACTGTTGGTAACAAAGCTGTTACCAATGACTTCCATTGCATGAACGGAAAAAAACAAAACACATTATCTTCTTTTGTGTTCCATAGTTTATGTTAGGCCGTTGTAGCCTAAACGTTTGTGTAATAAATTTTATGTTGAACCAAATAAAATATTTCTTTCTAAAGTTACTATTTGTAATGTCTACTTAATACTTTCTCATTTAACAAAAAATAGCTGTAAATAATATTTTGGGGGTATTTTCACTACCAAATGTAATTTGTGATTAATTAGATTAATTAATCGACACATCATGTAATTAATTAGATTAAAATATTTTATTACCATAGCCTATTTTTTTTACAATCCTATCAAATCGAGCTACAGTCCCACTATACATAATTTCAAGTTCGGTATTGTTTAATTTGAAAATATGACACATTACAAAAGCTAAATTATTTGTGATCACCATTTCATGCTGTTTTATGCAAAATAAATAATAAAAAAGAATAATAAAGAAGTTTTTTTTTGTTTAAGTATAATAAATAAATAGTGTTTGTGTTTGTGTGTGTGTGTGTGTGTTTATGCACAGCATGGAGGAATGTGAAGCTCTCTGCACACGACTGGCCATCATGGTGAACGGAACATTTAAGTGTCTTGGCACAATCCAGCACCTCAAATACAAGTAAAATCACAAATTTTCACTTATGTTCACATACAAATTTTGAGTGGCATACATTTTCCACAGTCCAAAATCTTTTGTATTTGCATATCTATTCTCTGAACATCACTTATAATGTTTTCCCTGCAGATTTGGTGATGGATATGTTGTCACCATGAAAATCAGAGCAGCCAAAGCGGGCACAGTACCAGATCTGAACCCGGCCGAAGCATTTATGGAGAGCACATTTCCAGGCTGCATTCAGAGAGAGAAACACTATAATACTCTACAGTACGAGATCGCTTCTTCCTCCCTGGCCAAAATCTTCCAGCTAGTCTTTGCCAACAAGGAAATGCTGAATATCGAAGATTACTCCGTGTCCCAGACAACACTGGACCAGGTATTTCATGTGACCCTTTTGGCCTAGATAAACCTGTACCACTTAGATTTTTTTACATATTTGTCAGTATCTCCTTATGCGATACATTTAAGCTTGTAAAATGCATGACTCCCTTTATGCAGTCCAAAACAGCAGTATTGGCACTCTCCTCTTTCTGAGACAGGATATCCCAAACTAGACAAGCACAGAATAGAGGAGTCCAGTTCAGAGTCAGATTGCCACAAGCCTCCCTCTATCTTGTGACCACCACTATTTGTTTCCAAGCCTGCATGTGACAAATGCACTGGAACGAGGGCATTTTGGCTCTTTATGTAGTCTCGCTCTCTTTGTTTCACTCCCTGTAGGTGTTTGTGAATTTCGCAAAGCAGCAATCCGGAGAAGATGATACCATTGTGCTGCACCCGAGGGCAGCCGGTGCCCGGCGGGACATGAGAGTCTTTCCAGTGAAAACGAAAGCTTGAAATCTTTACTGAAGAGGGTCATTTGAGCAGGTCAATTGGAGTCATCTGGCAGGGCGCTCAAAAGAGTCATAAAAGAAGAGATGATTTTTTTTTCTCCTTTACAAAACACTTGTTTGGCCTTTTTTTTTTTATAGAAATGCAACCAAACCACAACAAAATACAGTCAGAACTGGACTGAGTTAGTCTTATGAATACTGTAGCACTTTATTATGTTAATGTCACTTTTGTTTTTTTGTTTTTTACAAAGAATTTTGTTTTAAAAACAAATCAAATGATGCAATAGATTTTATTGCAAAGGCTATTGCTATTGAAATGCATATTGCATTGTGATGCATTGCAAGTCACGGCTTTAATAATTCTTGCCAAGTTAGAAAAGTGTAGCAAACAAATGTTGTAATTAACCAAATGTTAAATGTTGAGTTTTGTCATTTGCTGACTAGGAATGGCTTGTAGCAAGGAATTGTACAAAGCTGATTTTGTTTGTTCTTTCTTTCTTTCTTGTAAAAATAATACTATTAAAAATTTTATTGTTCACTGTCCACCTTGTCAAGAATGAATACGATAATATTACCATCATCAGTACAGTCTAGAAATATTTATTAAATGGTATCACTCAAGATTGTTATTTTATAACCATTTGAACCAGTTATTTAGATTTCAAGTAAAACAAATTATTTTTATTTGACCCTAAAAGTTCAATGTAACTCAGTGTCTTCCTCTGTTTAAGAAAAACTATTTTCTTTCATGCTGAAGTAGTTGGATTACAGAGGTAGAGTACTGTATTTTGCACATGGATAGTTGTGGAAATGATTTAACCAACAGAAATATGTTGTGTCAACACAAATTCCTACAAATCTGCTTATTTAAATTCCCAAGTGGCATACCATTGTAAATACAACAATGTTAGACATCATCTTGCATGATAACCGTCAGATATTGTTGAAAAGCGGATTTAACTTCATAATCCTTCCCAGAGGGTGTCATAAATCAGCCTCATTTACATGCAGCTGTTCAGATGTGTCCTAGTTCTCTCAGCTGAAATCATAATATCTCTGGATTTTGACCTGAAATTGGTTCATATGAATGTCAGAGGATGAAAGGGAGGATTGACATGTGGAGGTTTGGGTAGTCCTTAAACTCCCAGGTGTAAGTTTTGTGTTTTCCTTTGGCCCAGATGGTCATTTGAACGAAACCTACAAGTGTGAAGAGAGCCACTGCAAAAAATAAAAAATAAAATAAATACATTAGTTTAAAAAAATAAGATCAAATATTGTACATTTTCATTTTTCTATATTAATAAATTATTTATTAATGACTTCAACTACTTCAGTCTGTGTGCACTGAATTTATTTAATACACGAGTTTCACAATTTGAGTTGAATTACTGAAATAAATGAACTTTTCCATGACATTCTAATTTATTGAGATGCACCTGTATTTGATTATGGCAATGGTGCTGTTACCTCATATGTATAGTTGGGGCATGATACAAAGTAAAAGAGCCACGTAAAAGGGTTTTTAGATAGATGTGGGAATCTCCGACATTTTGCACCTTTAAACAACAACAAAAAATTGGCTCAAACACAAGTATCCTGATCTGTTATGCCATAGAAATTTGACATAATACACCCACCTTCACATTTTAAACTGTTCAGTGACCAGTGGATGGAAAAAATTCCTGCCTCACATAACTGGAATACAAACAATATACATCATGTTTGTTAATTTATCTTTAATACAGAATGTGGTCCATACATAATAGGTTACATTAGATTTTTAAAGTGGTACCAGAGGTTTGGACACCTATGTGGTATGTTTATTAAAACAGAAACATTACATACCGCAAAAATAATTAGTGCATAGTTGACCTGTGTCTCTGCTCTAAAACATAAAAACAAGTTTAATGTATTAAATTAACATGATTATTAAATAGGTTTGCCTCTGCTAGTACTCACATGGTGGAGTGTAGAGAGGATGGTTAATGTAGTATGCTAGCCAAGCTGCAAAACCCCAGTAATAAGCACAATTCTGTGAATTCAGAGAATTAGCTTCAGCTTTGAGGACACACTGGTAGTTTTCCTAATCATAATAGTATTGTTCAGTTTGTCAGATTGCTCAGAAAATAACTGAACTGCATTAAATAACTGTTTTAATATCTTTCTGATGTAGACAAATTATTTCTCAGACTAATTTTAATTTGACTTCGCAAACCAGACCAGTCTGACCAAACACTCACCCTTATAATGGCTCTGAGAGGCATCGTGCCATTAGAAAATCGATGCACAAAGATTGTTTCAAATAGCCTCTTGATATAGTTGGGGCGGATATAGTGATTTGGGGGCCCCAGGCAAAATACAGGAATGGGGCCCTATACAATTTCACACATTTACAACCTTGAGGTTCCTTTCACTGTTGCTCGCTGCTGCATGACCGTGTCCCAGAGTTGTGTCTAATCTTTTAGATTTTTTACGTACATGTTATAAATAAAGGATTTCTTTAAAATTGTAAATCCCTTGTTCACATTTATCTCGTATATGAAAAGCATTTTAGGGGGCCCTTGGCTTTTGGGGGTCCAAGGCGGTCGCCTACCTTTGCCTAATGGTTAAGTCCGCCTCTGGATATAGTGGAAAGAGTGACAAGCACAAGCCAAACTGAAGTTACATTTTGCAAATCACTCTTACCATCGTCCATCCCAGTTGTGGGCCAAGGTCTCTGAAATACAAGGTTGCTGAGGTCCCGACAGACAGATTCTGTAGCACGTCATCATCTCTCAGTGCTTTTCCTTCTAAAAACCGAAAACTCAAAACTAGATTTGTTACAGCTAGTGTTAAAGTTTTAGGTAAGTGTAGGTTTTGGTCCTGCTGCATCAAAGCAGCTCTTGGCAGATAGCACTTATCTTGCTTTCTGAAACCTGAAAAATGCTGCCTTCAGAAGCGCTAGAGGTAGCAAGACATCAAGAAGGCACATCTGAGAACATCCACAATGTTTGTGTAACATCCTGTCTACCAAGTCTTCATCTGGTTAGTTTTTAAAAGCAGCAGAGATTAATAACATCCCTCAGTTCAGTGTGTGGGTTTAGCAATTGGTGGAAATGGAGCAGATGAAAGATTTTTTTATGATTCCATTTCTACCCAAGGAATAAACATGTCCTTAAATATGTTCTTGGTTATCTCTAAAGCAACAGACCTGAGAAAAGCAACAGGACTGATATTTTAGCTGTAACACTGAAACTGTCATGAAGCAATGGAAGTAACGACACCTTTTTTCTGTATAGACGTACATCCGAGTGTAACGGGTTATAAAAAAGAAAAAAGTTATGACATTTTGATTAAATATAAAATGTGTTCCTCATACTCACTGGGGTCCAGCCTCAGGGCTTGTCTAGCTGGATACCATTTGGGATCTTACAGTGAGAAAGAAAAAAACACAAATATTATGCAAATTATGTACCAAATACCAAGCTCTACCACCACTGTCATAAAAAGAGGATAAATTAAACACTAAATTCAAGAATAATATAGACACAAACATTATACTAAAAAGTAATATTTACATATGTGACCCTGGACCACAAAACCAGTCATAAGTAGAACATGTATATTTGTAGCAATAGCCAAAAATACATTGAATGGGTCAAAATTATTGATTTTTCTTTTATGCCAAAAATCATTAGGATATTAAGTAAAGATTATGTTCCATGAAGATATTTTGTAAATGTCCTACCGTAAATATATCAAAACTTAATTTTTGATTAATAATATGCATTGCTAAGAACTTCATTTGGACAACTTTAAAGGCGATTTTCTCAATATTTAGATTTTTTTGCACCTTCAGATTCCAGATTTTCATAGTTGTATAGCTGTTCAATAGTTGTATCTCGGCCAAATATTGTCCTATCCAAACAAACAATACATCAATGGAAAGTTTATTTATTCAGCTTTCAGATGATGTATAAATCTCAACTTCACAAAATTGACCCTTATGACTGCTTTTGTGGTCCAGGGTCACATATGTTAAACATTAGCCTACATTTATTAATACCTGTTCTACAATATTATTTCAAACCAAATACATATTGTTCATTATTGCACGCGCTCTATAATACTTGATTGTGATTGGTCAATCGCGGGATTTAGTAGTCAGTCACTCCATAGCAACGCAGTTTATTAGTCAGCTCGTCCAGGTAAAAGCAACCAATCAGGTACCCCGTTAAAAGTCCTTTCAGCCAATAGATTCCCAATAGATTTGCTAAAACCGATTCCGGTTTCTCGTCTCACACCGCGAAAAGGCAACTGGCGCCATCATGCGTCTCAGGTATCGATTTTACTGAAAATAACATAAGCATTTTATTACTATAGTATTGTTACAGTGTTCATATTGATGCTAGGCCGATTGTTTTGTACATTTTAAATTGACTATTTTAGCGAAAGTAGGCTTATTTAATGTCCACGCACTACTCAAAAAATAAATCATTATAAATAAATAAATAAATAAATAAATATCGCAAAATAAAACTCGACAGGCTGACCAGGACCCTTACTCGCAGCTGAGGAAAAATGTGACCAAGATTTCATATTTGACTAGGTAAAATTACAATATCACAAAGCCACTGTGGGGTAAAACTTACATGACTTATGAAATCACGCAAAGAAAGAAGGCGTACCTTTTATTCTCACTGTAGTATTGTTGCCGCCGCCATATCCTGAAGACGCTGTGTTGTGAGTTGTGAAAGCGAAACTACTTTGTTTGGTCTTCCAAAAGAGGACGATATCCGCTTCGTCATGGCCAGTGACCAGTGACCATAGCTGGCCAATCACAGCACACCTCGCTTTTTCAGACCGATGAGCTTTGTAAAAATCGACGCGTTTCAAAAAGGCGGGGCATAGAGGAGAAACAATAATGTACAGTATGTGGAAAATAATGTGTTTTTTTTTTGATTTAAACCGCATAAACACATTTCATTACACCAAATACACAAAATAATGTTCTTTTTAGCAACATCATATGACCCCTTTAATGTCACCTACGCTTGAATGGGGTTCAACCTGCATTAAAAACAAAATAAAACAATATACCATTAAGTTTTGGCTGAGTGCAGCAGACACTGTCATTGATTGTTTAAGGCAAAATCTGCTTACCTTGTCAAGAAAACAGAGCTGTTCTTTGGTTTTTGAGTCCAGAATAAAAAAAATAAAAAAAACAAAAACCTGGAAGATTAGAGACATAAATTCAGCTGGGTCAATAGCTGCACAGCACAGACACTACGAAGCATACTTACTTTTTAATTCAATCAACATAAATCAAGTTAATTTAGTGAAGGCCTGGCCTCAGGGTGAAGCTGCCCATCACTTCTCCCAGAATTTTCTGCTTCAGAGATGCATCACAAAACTGACAACTGAGGAATAAAATCATTAGCTGTTACATAGTTTCATATTAATAGGAAATATGGAGAGTTTAGGAATAATTTGCAACATGTTTCCCCTTGAGTGATCATAAAAAACGTGTTCTGAAGTGAATATCCAAAACTGTTTCATTCTGACACAGTTTTCCAAGTGTATCCGTAAAGCCCATGGGCACCCAGTGAGGGCGGTTATATCGATCAGAGCTTCTGTTTTGACAGCACTGTCCCTGTTTAGCTCATTGTAGTCACTTCATCAATCATCCCCCAAACAAACACTGAATCTCCACTATCGTCTGTTTCTGACCAATCTGAGCTCTGAATTCCAAGGATATATCTGTTTGCAGTACAGGGATCTTTTTAATCTTAATTAAAAGGCGTCAGCATTGATCTACGGAGTACGCACTGTGAGTTGACTGCAATTTGCCTTGAAAGCACTACATACTGTGGAGTTCAGCAGAGTTGTCAGCCTAAAACTGCTCTTATACTGGCTAGTGTAATAATCGTCTAATGGACACACAGGATTAGCCTAATGCTCAATTTAAAGAAAGAATCCCAGTGGAGTGGTTGAGGTTATTCTGCAGATGGAGATGTCTGGGATCATTACTTGCGCATGTTGCACCTGATGCTAATCCACTTGTCTAAATTCAACAGGGAGTTTTCTAAACTCTCACACTTTTATGGCAGATGTTTGTTGAAAAGTGATCTATGTATTGCATAAATTATTTAAATAATTGTTATTTTTATATTTGTGTGTGTATGTAATAAGCAATACTATTCTATATAATAATAATAATAATAATAAAAATATAATTTATAAATAATATACAGATATGAATACACAAAAGTGACCCAAAACATATTTTCGCTCTGTTTTTCTTGTAAAATGATATATGTGACTCATGGTCATACTCATGTATAAAGAAAACCATGCAGTAACTTGTCCGGTTTTCAATCAGGCTGAGTAATCAATAAAAGCACTCTCTGAATTTCTGAGTGCTATTGACAGGACATCCTGCCTCTGTTATACCCATCCCCCCAGTATTGTAAATACAGCAGTAATGATGAGGACTGTATCAGGCTCAAAACATAACATAATTCTGTATCTGCACTGAATGATTGGTTTTGTTCGTGGCTTTTAAGTTCTTGTTTTCTTTGTTTACTTCTTGATGACAGAAAACGGTTTGGGACATTAGATTTGAATGTTTGATTTCTATACATTTCATTTTGAAGTTGTTTAATGTGTGTTAATCAATAGCACAGTCTCTGGTGGTGTTACAGAAGGCAGTGGAAATGCCTGAGAGGTTTCATTAATCCTCCATGGATGACAGGCCTGTCGGTTATGTGCTGAATTATATTTACTTGTTTATGTTCAGCAAGCGTAAAATTAAAGAAAACCGGCGTACGGCAAATTTGCTCTTACTGTATGACACCCAACTGGAGGAACTGAGGACTGACATGACAAATTTTCAGCAAACTTAAAAAATGCTGTGATTGGTTTTAATTACACTAACATATAGTAACATAGTTAATTACTTTTACTGTAACTCATCTTTATGGTTAGACCATGGATTTGTGGAAATTCATATCTTGAATACACATAATCATATATATATAGCTAATTCTGACAACTTTGTGGTTTAACATGTTGCCATTTTTTTATAATATAATTATTTTAATAATAATTATATGTGTATATAAAAAAATAAAAAAATACACACACACACACATATATGATACAATATATACATACAATGTGTATGTATATATATTATTTCTAACACTTAAAAAAAAAATTGACGACAGATTAAAGCAGAAGGTTTTTTTCAAATTTAGCCATGTTCTCGTCTCTAAAGTATAGCTCAGGAAACCCACACACAATGAAGGATCTCCTCTTTGCCTTTTCACTGTGAGAATGTGACTTTTTAGTCTTTTGAAACAGAATTCATTGCCCTCGACACCCACTGTTCAAAATTGTGCAAAAGCATTTAATCTTGTAAATTAACTTGATGCCTTACCTCAGAAAATATTGTTCTGCTCATTCCGGGGCCCTCGTCTGACGTAATGTAAGGTCCCCCAGAGTTGGACAGGCTACTCCGTCCTTTTCTGTGGTAATGCCAGTGTTAATTCTCCATTCCAACCCTCCTCCGTCACTCTCCATCTCCCCTCCCACACACACTCCCTCCTACTGCCTTTTTTCTTCTCCTCTTTAATCTCTTGCCCTTTCTATCTGAAGAGAGCATGTACGTTCCTCAAACCTGTCTTAGTCTGCAATCATGTCCTGTATGTGTCTACAGGCCCTCAAATTGTGAATGAACTGTGTTTTAGATAAATACACTTAAATACAAATGAAAATATTATAAATCAATCAGTCAGTTTGGAGGCTGTTTGAATGGAGATCAATGCTTCTGTACCTATGAAAGCCCTCCACTGTCCATTGGGGCAAAAATAGAAAACACCCTCAGGAATGTGTTGTGATGTTCTGTCATCTTGAAAAAAGAAGAATGAAATGTAGAGGAGGGCAGTGTTTTGATCCCCTATGTCATCTAAGGGGCTGTTCCTGTGAATGATTGGGGAACAAAACATTCCTTTGCTTAACTTAAGTCTAGTCTGAGATTAAGGAGCCATATCGGCAAGATGGTTTACATCAAATGCTGCAGCATTTTGTGTCAGACATAGCAAGAAATACTATATGACCTTCTTGAAATCAGATGCATATAACTAAATATGTAGATATTTGAAATGGTCTCTTTTCTGCTCATCAGGTCTAGTTTAGAAAGTAGTTTTACAGTACACTTGAATAGATAATAATAAATAATAATAATAAATAGAACAAAAAAAAAAAACATGATTTTTTTTGGACCTTAAAAGAGCATATAAGCAGACAAAAAAGAAAGAAAGAAAGAAAGAGATGACTGAAACTTTGCTGCATTTATTCCCAATTATTTCCACTTTCATCATGTGATACGTTCCAGGTTTTACCAGTGTTTCACAGCCTTTTCTGTCTTCGTTGTCAAGTGAGTCTAGTCACGTTAAGTGGCTTAGACATGGCAAATAAAGCTTGACTCTTTGTTGAAGTGTAGTGCAGAGGCAGAGGGCCCTTGGTCTCAGCCCAGCAAACTCTGAGTGCAAAGCATGTATTCAGAAAGCTTCCGGCATTTCAGAGAGCTCACATATCTGCTGTGCCGGCCACGTTCAGTGTCCATGACAGCATCTGCTGCCATTCTGAAGAAACCCCAACCTCTGCTGGTAATAATAACCACAGACAGCCAGAAAGACAGATCATTTTTATTCTTCAGGAGTCTGACCAAGATTGTCCTCAAGGTCAGATTAGCTCTCCTATCATGATGGGGATCCTCTATTTCTCATCTTTTTCACATCTGTGGTTGCTCAGCCACACAGGCAAACCCCTCTCACAGAATTTCTGACCCAGCTGCCATTGAGTTGTGAAATTCAGATGAAGAGACTCTCTGAATTGCCAAAGGCACTCAGGACACTTCAGGGAAGTCGGCTGACAGAGAGTTCCTCTTCAGCGTTCAAGGGCAAAATGAGCACACAAGTACAGCCCAGAGAGTGTTTATTTGATAAAGGTCTGTGGAACAACTGCATGAGTGTCTCACTGACAAATTGTGTGAAATATGAAGGTATTAGTGGATTTACTAGAAACAAGGGAGATGAGCAGGAAAATATCTTTCATCACACTCTGTTCGAGATTAAAAAGTGCTTATTAAATTTGCCACTAGAGGGTGCTGTAATCTTGTTAAAGCATCTGTGATTGTTGACACCCTTCACCCATAGAGGAACTTAAAAAGTGGCCTTCTGAAGATATGCTGACCTAAGACATCTCTATATTATGTAGAGATATCATTTAACATTTCTGTTGATTTCAGTGTCAGGTTTATGCTGGTGCATGACTAGTTTGTTTAATTTTGAATGCGCACTAGATGCTCTAATAATCTACCAAACTAGTTCGGTCATGCTAATCAGCCAAACATTGAATCCTTGGGTCCTTGACCTGTGGAGGAAGTCTTCTTGATGTTATGCAACTTAAAATGAACATTTAGGGATTTAGTTGAAGGTTTAATTAATTGATTTTAGAATTAATTATTTTTATTATTATTTCAGTCAACAAATTTGGCTTTGAACCTGCAAGCCTACTTGGTCTGCATCTTAAATTATTTTTTAATTAATTTTTGCTGCTTGTTATCTGCTTAGCATCTCAAAAAAGCATCTTAAAGGGATAGTTCACCCAAAAATGAAAATTCTGTCATTAATTACTCACCCTCATGTCGTTCCAAACCCGTAAGACCTTCAAAACTCTGTCATTAATTACTCACCCTCATGTCGTTCCAAAACCATAAGACCTTCGTTCATCTTCAGAACACGAATCAAGATATTTTTGATGAAATGTGAGAGCTCTCAGACCCTGCATAGACAGCAACACAACTGTAATGTTCCCAGTAGGGATGTTCATTTTAACCGTTTAACCGGTTAAGCGACCGTAAGAATTTTGACCGATTAATACAATCAGTTAAACGGTTTAAAAAGTCATTTAATTATTTATTTTTTCAGTAATTTATCAAAATATTTAAAAAGGTTTGCTGCATGGTTAAAATACGCTACACGTATAAAAAAAATGTGTTTTTAGGGGGGGAAAATATGTTGCGTATAAGTCGCATTTTATTGTTTCATTCAGAAATAGCTAGGCCTAATGCCGACGCGAAATGTTTACAAACATTATAATAAACACTGTAGACATAGCTAGGCTATTTTAGTTCCCCTCACTACACTGTAAACATAGCTAGTGTTAGTTCCCCTCACTCCACA